TCAGGAGGATTTAGACAAACTCTACTCTTGGTCAGAAAAGTGGCAGATGCAGTTCAATGTAGATAAAGGCAAGGTTCTGAAGCTCGGGAGTGTCCATAACCCTAGCACTTATAAGTTAAATAATGTAGAACTTAGCCATACAGATTGCGAAAAGGACTTGGGGGTTATGGTAAGCAGCAACCTTAAACCAAGACAGCAATGCCTAAGCGTACGTAATAAGGCAAATAGATTACTGGGATTTATATCAAGAAGTGTAAGCAACAGAAGTCCAGAGGTCATACTGCAGCTTTATACATCATTAGTAAGGCCTCACCTAGATTATGCAGCTCAGTTCTGGTCTCCATATTACAGAATGGACATAAATTCGTTAGAAAACATTCAGCGTAGGATGACTAAATTAATACATAGCATTAGAAATCTTCCTTATGAAGAAAGATTGAAGACTCTTAAGTTACATTCACTTGTTAGACGAAGAATGAGGGTAGACCTGATTGAAGTGTATAAGTGGAAGATAGGTATTAATAAAGGGGATATTAACAAGGTCTTGAGGGTATCTCTCCAAGAGAGAACCCGCAGTAATGGATTTAAATTAGATAAGTTTAGATTTAGAAAGGACATAGGAATGCATTGGTTTGGAAATAGGGTAGTTGATGAGTGGAACAGTCTACCTAGTTGGGTTATTGAGGCTAGGACTTTGGGTAGTTTCAAATTTAGGTTGGATAAGTACATGAGTGGGAGGGGTTGGATTTGAGTGGGACTTGCACATCAGAGCTTATTTCTTGGGTAGCATTGAAAATTGGGTTGGTCAAATGTTTGTTAGTGGGATGAATTGTAAAAGACCTGCCTATTATGGGCCAACAGGCCTCCTGCAGTGTTCCCTTATGTTCTTATGTAATATGGAGACCAGAATTGAGCTGCATAATCTAGGTGAGGCCTTACTAATGATGTATAAAGCTGCAGTATGACCTCTGGACTTCTGTTGCTTACACTTCTTGATATAAATCCCAGTAATCTATTTGCCTTATTACGTACGCTTAGGCATTGCTGTCTTGGTTTAAGGTTGCTGCTCACCATAACCCCCAAGTCCTTTTCGCAATCTGTATGGCTAAGTTCTACATTATTTAACTTATAAGTGCTAGGGTTATGGACACTCCCGAGCTTCAGAACCTTGCCTTTATCTACATTGAACTGCATCTGCCACTTTTCTGACCAAGAGTAGAGTTTGTCTAAATCCTCCTGAAGTTCCCTAACATCTACGTTTGAATCAATTATCCTACCTATCTTTGTGTCATCGGCGAATTTGCTCATATCACTAGTAACACCCTCATCAAGATCATTGATATATATTATAAACAACAACGGGCCCCAGACTGATCCCTGTGGAACGCCACTTGTTACAGATCCCCACTCGGATTTAACCCCATTTATGAAATTAAGACACATGTGCATCATCTGGGTATCTTTATTGTAGACGTTTCGCCAACCAGTGGCTTTATCAATACAAATTCTAGGACATAACTTGAAGACAGTAGGACTGTATACAGAAGATGAGGTAATCAGTCCCTCAACCTAGGAGTAGGTGCGAAGAGCACCGCAGTCGTGGAGATTCTCCACGACTGCGGTGCTCTTCGCACCTACTCCTAGGTTGAGGGACTGATTACCTCATCTTCTGTATATAGTCCTACTGTCTTCAAGTTATGTCCTAGAATTTGTATCGATAAAGCCACTGGTTGGCGAAACGTCTACAATAAAGATACCCAGATGTTGCACATGTGTCTTAATTTCATCTTGTCGGTATTATATACCATTCTTACACAACCCCATTTATGGACACTCTCTGCTTCCTGTCTGTGAGCCATGACTCGACCCACGAGAGCACTTTTCCCCCAATGCCATGAGCTGCCACTTTCTTTAACAGTCTTTGGTGCGGAACTCTATCAAAAGCCTTACTAAAATCTAAGTAAATAATATCAAATTCTTTATCGTGGTCAACAGCCTCAAAAGCCTTACTCAAGAAAGTTAATAAATTAGTTAGACAAGACCGGCCTCTTGTGAATCCATGCTGAGTATCATTAATCAAGCTATGCTTATCGAGATGGCTTCTTATAATCTCAGCTATAATTGACTCTAGTAATTTGCCTACAATTGAGGTCAGGCTTATTGGGCAGTAATTTGACGGTAACGACTTGTCCCCTGTTTTAAAAATAGGAATTACATTAGCCATCTTCCACATATCAGACACTACACCTGTTTGAAGAGATAAATTAAAAATATTAGTTAATGGTTCACAGAGTTCCATTTTGCATTCCTTAAGAACCCTTGAATAAACCTCATCAGGACCCGGTGACTTATTTTGCTTCAGTCGGTCTATCTGCTTCACAACCATTTCACTAGTGACTGTGATGTTACATAATTTATCTTCTGGTCCACTATAGAAATTAATTACTGGAATGTTATTAGTGTCTTCCTGTGTAAAAACCGAGGGAAAATAATTATTTAAAATCGAGCACATTTCATTCTCTTTGTCACTAAGATGCCCATAGTTATTTTTAAGGGGACCTATCTTATCTCTGACTTTTGTTCTATATACCTGGAAAAAACTTTTTGGGTTGGTTTTAGAATCCCTAGCAACTTTAATTTCATAGTCCCTTTTAGCTTTTCTTATCCCCTTTTTAATGTCCCTCTTAATGTCAATATACTGATTCATAAGATGACACTCACCTCTTTTGATACGCCTATAAATTCCTTTCTTATGCCCTAGTAGATATTTCAGCCTATTATTCATCCATTTTGGGTCATTTCTATTTGATCTAATTTCTTTATACGGAATAAACGTTCTTTGAGCCTCATGTATAGTGTTCAGAAAACTGTCATATTGATAGCTCTCTTCGTTACCCCAGTCAACAGATGATAAGTGTTCTCTAAGCCCATCGTAATCTGCTAAGCGAAAATCTGGGACTGTTACTGAGTTATCCCTACTATCATACTTCCATTCAATGCTAAATGTAATTGATTTGTGGTCGCTAGCACCCAGTTCCTGTGAAACTTTTAAATTATTAACAAGGGATTCATTGTTTGCCAGAACTAAGTCAAGCAGGTTGTTACCCCTTGTAGGTTCTGTCACAAACTGCTTCAAAAAACAATCCTGAACTACTCTTAAGAAGTCGTATGATTCTAAATTCCCAGTCAAGAAATTCCAATCAATATGACTAAAGTTAAAGTCTCCTAGAATTACTACATTATCGTGCCTTGTGGCCCTAACAATTTCCTCCCATAGTAGTCTCCCCTGGTCCCTATCTAAGTTTGGGGGACGGTATATCACACCTAAAATTAATTTTTCATGCCCATCTGAAAATTCTATTCAAACAGACTCTGTATGTGTTACTTCAGACTTAATACCCGTTTTTATGCAACAGTTCAAGCGATCTCGGACATACAATGCCACCCCACCCCCCTTCCCGACACTTCTATCTACTTGGAACAATTTAAAACCCTGAATGTGACATTCTGCAGGCATGTCCCGACTTTTTGAATTAAACCACGTTTCAGTTAAGGCAAATACATCAATGTTACCTGCACTAGCAACTAGTCTCAACTCGTCCATCTTATTCCTAGCACTGCGACTATTTGTGTAATATATATTTAAAGACCCTCCTCTTTCTTTACCCTTCCTGCTCCTTTCTGTTATTCCACTAAACCTATTGCTGTCCTTGTCAATTTGTGCCACTGGCTTTCCAATATCTACCTCATTTTGCCTATTACTAGTTCTTCTAGTACTCATATTACTACACTGCCCAAGGTTTTAGCTTCAATAATATTACTAAGCAGACTTCCACTCATCAACTACTCTGTAAGAAAACCAATACTTTCCTATATTCTTTCTAAATCTAAATAATCGAATTTGAATCTATTATTGAGGGCTCTTTCTTGTAGGGGTATCCTCATGACCTTATTTATATCTCCTTTATTAATGCCCATCTTCCAGCTATACACTTCAGTCATCAATCATATCTTCCCTTATTCTTCGTCTTACAGGATAATGTAATTTAAGGATTTCACTCTTTCTTCGTAAGGAAAATTTCTTATGCAGTGGATGAATTTTGTCATTCTTCGCTGAATGTTTTCTAACGAATTTATGTCCATTCTGTAATATGGAGACCAAAACTGAGCTGCATAATTTAAGCGAGGCCTTAATAATGATGTGTAGAGCTATAGTATAACCTCTGGATTTCTGTTGCTTATACTTCTTGATACAAATTCCAGTAATCTGCTTGCTTTATTATGTATGTTTAGGCATTGCTGTCTTGGTTTCAGGTTGCTGCTTACCAGTAACTCCTAAATCCTTTTCGCATTCTGTATGGTCCAGTTCTACATTATTTAGTTTATAAGTAATTGGGTTATTTACATTCCCGAGATTCAGACTTTGCATTTATCTACATGGAACTGCATCTGCAACTTTTCTGACCAAGACATGAGTTTGTCTAAATCTTTCTGAAGTTCAGCGACATCTTCCCCTGAATCAATTATCCTGCCTATTTTCATGTCATCAGCGAATTTGCTCATATCACTAGTTATTCCCTCGTCAAGGTCATTAATGTATTTTATGAACAACAATGGGCCTAAAACTGATCTCTGTGGAACGCCACTTGTTACAGATCACCACTCAGATTTTATGCATACTCTCTGCTTCCTGTTGGTGAGCCATATCTCGATCCATAATAAGTTCAGATTCCTTAAATCAAGTACCATTAGCCAGCACCATACAACCAACACAATGTTGGTTGTATGGTGGCACTACATAACAATGTTGGTTGTATGGTGGCACTACCTAACAATGTTGGTTGTATGGTGGCACTACCTAACAATGTTGGTTGTATGGTGGCACTACCTAACAATATTGGTTGTATGGTGGCACTACCTAATAATGTTGGTTGGCTGATGGCACTACCTAACAATATTTACGTGAGTTCACTTATTTAATGAAGTGTTTTCCTGGGCAGGGCTGATGAACAAGTTCAAGAAGAGGGAGCAGCGTGTGGAGAGGAAATGTAAGAAGAAGGGCCGTTGCACCCTTCAGCTAGAAGCCATGGAGAAGACCCTGAAGGTGAAGCCTCCGCAAGCGAGAGTTCGTTGTGCCCGGGGTGAACGAGAAATTTGAAGAGAACGCTGAGTTAGTGTGTTCTGTCTAGTCAAGGTCGGTAGTGACTGCAGCAGCGCCGTCTCTCACAGTGACCGTGAGGTGGGGCTGAGAGGAGGGGGCTGCACCTCCCCACCATTCCTGGTGAAGGGGTGAGCACCCCCTCAACACACCCTCACTATCACCAGTCGCCCCCACCTCTGGTGGGGGCTAGGCTTCATTTGGACATAGGTGGGAACGGGGAAGCCGGTGAGGTTACGGTACCAGCTAGGATAGAGGACGGACATTGTGTGCAGCGGGTGATATGTACAAATTACTGTTAGAAGTGGAAAAAAAACTCAATGTAAATCATAAAGGTGACATAGTAGCACTGAGAGGAACTCATGGAGTGAAAGTGAAGGTTAAGAATGAGGCAGTCAAAGCAGGTAAGCATTCATGTTGGGGACACTGCTGGCGGACGCCATGCTAGTGAGGCTGGCCACTGCGAAAGTATTAATAATATAATAATGTAAACAGATAATTAATAGCGATGGATATAAGTGTGTTATGTGATAGAGAAAGAAACTTACTTGAAGTAGTGAGAGAATAAGGTGACACCTGCTTGAGGGGGTGAGAAATGAGGTGAAAACTGCTTAAAGTAGTGAGAAATAACGTGACTTGCTTGAAGCAGTGAGAGGAATGAGGTGACACCTGTTTAAAGTGGTAAGTAACATGACTTGCTTGAAGCGGGGAGAAGAATGAGGTGGTAAAAGGAACTGGCTGGAAATCAGAAAACAGAATAATATTGTTCAATTTATTCAGAAAGAGGAGGAGGTAGCGTGTGAATATTAAGAAGGAAAAGGAATTCAATTTATTGAAGAGTGTGTGGCGAGGCTGCAGTCACCAGCGACTTGTGTGTTATGGTAATCTTAACTCGTGTATCCAGTAGCAAGAGTAGCAACACATTGTTTTCTTTCTGATGTTTTTTTCGCATTTGGAAAGGCAGAAAAAAATAGTTTTTTATAAGACGTGTGACATGTATTGCTGTGCAAGATGCAATCGAGGGTCTCAAAGTTGCAGATCTCAGTAAGAAAGTTGGTCCTCAACTGTTTTCTCTTGTTTACCTCATTACAGTCAATGTCACCTCTTGATTTGATTTGTAACAGTCATATTCTTTTATATATACAGTCAACTGTCCTATAAAGTTCCTCTATATGGTGTTATTCTTTGTAAATGCCACTGAAAATCTGCATTTGCTAAAAATCACACTAAGTGGAAAAAAAACTTTTTTTTCTTATTATTTAATTCTCTTTTTAAGACAAATTCCGAGGAAGACAATTTCCAGATCCCTATTGAAAAATGAATGCAATATTTATTAAGGTAGGCATCTAGTGGATGAATGAAACCTGAAAGAGAGCTCACTTAGAATTACGTTCATTACTAAACCCACAACCTTGTCATATATAATTGCTTTGTCTCGTACAAATACTCTCGTCGTTAATTTTAAATACTCACTTGCGAGCCATACAACACATACATACACACGTGTGTGTATATGTATGCGTATTTCCCATGATTACAATACACACACACACACACACACTGAGGACAGAAGGTGGAGAACTCACAAGAAATGATCAGGAGGTATGTGAGGAGCTAAACGGGAGATTTAAGGAAGTTTTTACAGTAGAGACAGGAAGGGCTCTGGGAAGACAGCAGAGAAGGGAACATCAAGAGGGAATATACCAACAAGTGTTGGATGACATACGAACAACCGAGGAGGAGGTGCAGAAGCTGCTAAGTGACCTTGATACCTCAAAGGCGATGGGACCAGACATCTCCCCGTGGGTCCTTAGAGAAGGAGCAGAGATGCTGTGCGTGCCCCTAACCACAATCTTCAACACATCCCTTGAAACTGGGCAACTACCTGAGAAATGGAAGACAGCAAATGTAGTCCCCATATTTAAGAAAGGAAACAGAAATGAGGCACTAAACTACAGACCTGTGCCTCTGACATGTATTGTGTGCAAAGTCATGGAGAAGATTATCAGGAGGAGAGCGGTGGAACACCTGGAACGGAACAAGATTATAAATGAAAACCAGCATGGGATCATGGAAGGCAAATTCTGTGTCACAAACCTTCTGGAGTTTTATGACAAGGTAACAGAAGTAAGACACGAGAGAGAGGGGTGGGTTGATTGCGTTTTCCTAGACTGCAGGAAGGCCTTTGACACAGTTCCCCACAAGAGATTAGTGCAGAAGCTGGAGGATCAGACGCATATAACAGGGCACTGCAATGGAACAGGGAATACCTGACAGGGAGGCAACAACGAGTCATGGTACGTGAAGAGGTATCACAGTGGGCGCCTGTGACGAGCGGGATCCCACAGGGGTCAGTTCTAGGACCAGTGCTATTTTGATATATGCGAACGACATGATGGAAGGAATAGACTCTGAAGTGTCCCTATTCGCAGATGATGTGAAGCTGATGAGAAGAATTAAATCGGATGAGGATGAGGAAGGACTGCAAAGAGACCTGGACAGGCTGGACACGTGGTCCAGAAACTGGCTTCTCGAATTCAACCCTGCCAAATGCAAAGTCATGAAGATTGGGGAGGGGCAAAGAAGACTGCAGACAGAGTATAGGCTAGGTGGACAAAGACTACAGACCTCACTCAGGGAGAAAGACCTTGGGGTGACCATAACACCGAGCACATCACCGGAGGCACACATCAACCAAATAACTGCTGCAGCATACGGGCGCCTGGCAAACCTGAGAATAGTGTTCCGATACCTTAATAAGGAATCGTTCAAGACACTGTACACTGTGTATGTTAGGCCCATACTGGAGTATGCAGCACTAGTCTGGAACCCACACCTGGTCAAGCACGTCAAGAAGTTAGAGAAAGTACCAAGGTTTGCAACAAGGCTAGTCCCAGAGCTCAGGGAAATGTCGTACGAGGAAAGGTTGAGGGAAATCGGACTGACACTGGAGGACAGAAGGGTCAGGGGAGACATGATAACGACATACAAGATACTGCGGGGAATAGACAAGGTGGACAGAGATAGGATGTTCCAGAGGGAGGACACAGAAACAAGGGGTCACAACTGGAAGCTGAAGACTCAGACGAGTCATAGGGACGTTAGGAAGTATTTCTTCAGTCATAGAGTCGTCAGGAAGTGGAATAGCCTAGCAAGTGAAGTAGTGGGGCAGGAACCATACATAGTTTTAAGAAGAGGTATGACAAAGCTCAGGAAGCAGAGAGGAAGAGGACCTAGTAGCGATCAGTGAAGAGGCGGGGCCAGGAGCTGAGTCTCGACCCCTGCAACCACAATTAGGTGAGTACACACACGCACACACACAAAGAGCTGCATCTCTGACCAACACAATACACCCAGAACACATATCCATATACAAGTTTTTCTTCTTCCTTTGCTCCTTCATCTTCCTCCACTTCCCTTTTTATATATATATATATATATATATATATATATATATATATATATATATATATATATATATATATATATATATATATATATATATGCAATAAGATCACAGTAAACAGGTGATTTCAAAATATACAAAACAACCACTGTGAAAGAATAAGAGAAATTCCAAGCGGTTTCGTGACTACTCACATTATCAAGGAGCAATAAAAGTAATGCATCAAAGGAAGGCATATAAAGGGTCTAGCCCACACCTCGCTATCACATCCCACAACAAAGCAACACCTGACGTGCGACTCATAAGAAAGAGAACACTGCAGCAGGTCCGCTGGCCCAACTAGACAGGTCCTTCACACAACCCACCAGCAAAATATTCTACCCAAGAATTGAGAATTTTAAAATTTATTATTTGTCCAATGTATTATTAAATTCTTCCCAAATTCTATTAATTATAAATGGATCTAATTTATATAAACCAAAGGAAATATTCATATTATTGTCAAAACTGTTTTTTATGAAACAAGATTCAATTATATTCCTGTCGACCATCGACTTGCTTGATACAACTTTCTCAACTTTTTGAAAATCAATTGGAAAATCAATCAATTGGAAAATCAATTGATTTTCAAAAAGTTGAGAAAGTTGTATCAAGCAAGTCCATGGTCGACAGGAATATAATTGAATCTTGTTTCATAAAAAGCAGTTTTGGCAATAATATGAATATTTCCTTTGGTTTATATAAATTAGATCCATTTATAATTAATAGAATTTGGGAAGAATTTAATAATACATTGGACAAATAATAAATTTTAAAATTCTCAATTCTTGGGTAGAATATTTTGCTGGTGGGTTGTGTGAAGGACCTGTCTAGTTGGGCCAGCGGACCTGCTGCAGTGTTCTCTTTCTTATGAGTCGCACGTCAGGTGTTGCTTTGTTGTGGGATGTGATAGCGAGGTGTGGGCTAGACCCTTTATATGCCTTCCTTTGATGCATTACTTTTATTGCTCCTTGATAATGTGAGTAGTCACGAAACCGCTTGGAATTTCTCTATTCTTTCACAGTGGTTGTTTTGCATATATATATATATATATATATAATATATATATATATATATATATATAATATATATATATAATATATATATATATATAATATAAAGGTACATGCGTATGTTAATGGTCAAGGAATAAGATAAGTAACGTTAGCAATAAATCAATTGACCAGTAATAATGTACATGTCACTAAAGGCAATAATGTAATAAAAATAAATGAAAATTATTAAATCTGGAATTGTAACGTGGATAATAATAATAATAATAATAATAATAATAATAATAATAATAATAATAATAATAATAATAATAATAATGAGGATATTAAATGTTGCTGTAAAACAACAAGATTACTTAAAAAACAGTTATATGTTTATATAATAATTTCTGGCTGTCATAGTAAACTGGTTTAGTAAATTTTAATATTGCCAAGGTCTCAGGCGAAATTTTCAGACACTGGAAACGAAATTTCTGGGACGAACACATTGTTCTGGGACAATAAATGTAAAATTATAGGAGAATAAAACGATGTTTTATGGAATTAAAGGCAAAATTTAAAAAATAACATGACAAGTTGTGTACCTGGATTGTAGCCTCAGCAAAGGTACACCAGTGACTGTGTACCTGGGTTGTAGCCTCAGCAAAGGTACACCAGTGACTGTGTACCTGGGTTGTACCCTCAGCAAAGGTACACCAGTGACTGTGTACCTGGGTTGTAGCCTCAGCAAAGGTACACCAGTGACTGTGTACCTGGGTTGTACCCTCAGCAAAGGTACACCAGTGACTGTGTACCTGGGTTGTACCCTCAGCAAAGGTACACCAGTGACTGTGTACCTGGGTTGTACCCTCAGCAAAGGTACACCAGTGACTGTGTACCTGGGTTGTAGCCTCAGCAAAGGTACACCAGTGACTGTGTACCTGGGTTGTACCCTCACCAAAGGTACACCAGTGATTGTGTACCTGGGTTGTACCCTCAGCAAAGGTACACCAGTGACTGTGTACCTGGGTTGTAGCCTCAGCAAAGGTACACCAGTGACTGTGTACCTGGGTTGTAGCCTCAGCAAAGGTACACCAGTGACTGTGTACCTGGGTTGTAGCCTCAGCAAAGGTACACCAGTGACTGTGTACCTGGGTTGTACCCTCAGCAAAGGTACACCAGTGACTGTGTATCTGGGTTGTACCCTCAGCAAAGGTACACCAGTGACTGTGTACCTGGGTTGTACCCTCAGCAAAGGTACACCAGTGACTGTGTACCTGGGTTGTACCCTCAGCAAAGGTACACCAGTGACTGTGTACCTGGGTTGTACCCTCAGCAAAAGTACACCAGTGACTGTGTACCTGGATTGTAGCCTCAGCAAAGGTACACCAGTGACTGTGTACCTGGGTTGTACCCTCAGCAAAGGTACACCAGTGACTGTGTACCTGGGTTGTATCCTCAGCAAGGTACACCAGTGACTGTGTACCTGGGTTGTAGCCTCCGCAAAGGTACACCAGTGACTGTGTACCTGGGTTGTACCCTCAGCAAAGGTACACCAGTGACTGTGTACCTGGGTTGTACCCTCAGCAAAGATACACCAGTGACTGTGTACCTGGGTTGTACCCTCAGCAAAGGTACACCAGTGACTGTGTACCTGGGTTGTAGCCTCAGCAAAGGTACACCAGTGACTGTGTACCTGGGTTGTAGCCTCAGCAAAGGTACACCAGTGACTGTGTACCTGGGTTGTAGCCTCAGCAAAGGTACACCAGTGACTGTGTACCTGGTTTGTACCCTCAACAAAGGTACACCAGTGACTGTGTACCTGGGTTGTACCCTCAGCAAAGGTACACCAGTGACTGTGTACCTGGGTTGTACCCTCAGCAAAGGTACACCAGTGACTGTGTACCTGGGTTTGTACCCTCAGCAAAGGTACACCAGTGACTGTGTACCTGGGTTGTAGCCTCAGCAAAGGTACACCAGTGACTGTGTACCTGGGTTGTAGCCTCAGCAAAAGTACACCAGTGACTGTGTACCTGGGTTGTACCCTCAGCAAAGGTACACCAGTGACTGTGTACCTGGGTTGTACCCTCAGCAAAGGTACACCAGTGACTGTGTACCTGGGTTGTAGCAACAAAATTAAGGAAAAAGACGTCCATGGAGCAGGGGATGTGATCATATCTTAAGATAACACAGCGTGTGTTACGATAACACAGCGTGTGTTACGATAACACAGTAACTTTAAGACAACACAGCGTGTGTTACGATAACACAGTAACTTTAAGATAACACAGCGTGTTATAATAACACAGCGTGTTATGATAACACAACAAAATATAAGATAACACAGCGTATGATAAACTATAAACTAACACAGCGTTTATTATAACAAACTATAAAATATCACAGCTTATGTCATGATAATACAACAAAGTGTAAACTAAGAGAACATGTCATGATAACAACATATTATGAAATAACAAGCTTTGTTATAATAATATAGCAGCGTATAACACACCAAGATAGATGTGGCGTGTTATAATAGCAAACTTTAAGTTAACACAGGGTAAATTACAATAACACAACAGTTTACAAGATAACACAGCGTAGTTTATTATAACAACACAGCTCATGTTATTATAACACAACAAACTACAAGATAACACAACTCATGTTATTATAACACAACAAACTACAAGATAACACAACTAATGTTATTATAACACAACAAACTACAAGATAACACAGCTCATGTTATTATAACACAACAAACTACAAGATAACACAGCTCATGTTATTATAACACAACAAACTACAAGATAACACCTGGCAGGTGTGGGAAAATAAATTCTAAATTAGAAAGAGACATTTCAAAATGAGAT